ACTTTTACCAGAGCTTTATACTGCAGGATTTTTGTGTCACAAAGTGAGGTACTATTCTGATCTTGTCACATAAAAAGAAAGGTATTAGGCAACTGTTTGTGTTAGTCTTTTTGTAGCTTTGTGCAAATATCTGAAACACACAAATAAAAAAAAATTTGACTCACAGTTAGTTATTCGTCAATTTACTTTAGTCCTGAATGTCATTTAGTTTTATCTTTCTCAGTTCATCTATTTTGTGTTTTACATGTTCCTATTAAGTAGATTTGTTTTCATTATTTTCAGTTTTTAAATATACTATTTTATTTTCAGTATAAAATAATAACATTCACATTTATGATTAGTTTACATTCTGAGTTGATCTAAATGTTTATTTTTAATTTCATAATTTTGTTTAGTTTTACTGGCTGTTAAAGCCTTTTCATTTAATACTTTTGGATTTTTGACTGTGAGTACATCAAGGATATCATTAGTGCTGTCTAAGAATGTGCCTGGTGTTAAAGGCTTTAATTTGAGCATTTAAAGTTAACTTTTGAAGGTTTGAGCTCAGAAGAATTGAGGTAAAGAAGTGTTTGTGGTAGCCAAATTTTACCCTTCTATAACTCAGAAAGTATATATATACTCTGATATATCTAGGAACGTTTTTCCATGGAGGTGTTATGCTCTCAACTCTCACCTTTTAAACAAGGTGTTTGTGATAGATGTGCTTCAGTTCTCACCTTAGGCAAATATTACATACCATAATGGTAATTCTGTAGAGCTTGTATACACTTGCCATGCTTCTGTACCATCTCTCTCTCTTCCTTGGGGTGCTGGAGAGATTTGTGTAAGTTAGTAGAAGCTGTGAATTCATGTTCACTTGATTGTGAACAATAAGAAGGGGATCACTGATACAAATAATATAGGACCATAGTCTACCACAATTGGACTTTTATTTGACCTAAAAATATTGTATGGACATAATCCTTCTGTTCTTTATGGAGTAAAGGCAATTCTTCAATTGTGTTCTTCCTCTACTCCAGCAGTCAGAACAGTTCCAATGATATACATTGTAAAACCCCAGCAAGTTTTGTAAGCACATAAGTAATAAAGATTTCCCCCCCTCTTTTTCATTGCTATACACATTTGACTTATTCTGTCATAACTAAGTCTTTCCAGGCCTCCCATATTTCAGACTTAATACTTACCTGTTGGTTCCATTTTTACCTTCACCATTTGTCTAATAGATACGCTTCATCTTGCTAATGTGCTGGCTAGTTGTAATATTTCTGAAGCATGTTTTTGGTCCTATCTTCTACAGCATTGAATATATAACTAAGATTTTGCCTAGTTGCTTTTTCAGACTTTGCTATGAGGCCTTTTAAACTGAAATTTTCACAACCTAGAATTCACATTTCCCTAGTATCTTTCTAACATCAAGAAACTATGTTCTTGGGTGATTCACTGACAAATCAATTAACTGCTTCTACCTACCAATAGATAAACAAGTGTGCAAATGACAAATACCTATCTTAGCATAAAACAAGCAGATACAATAATATTTACTTCTGCTTCATAGTAAGGCATAATGGATAAATTGGAATGACTAACTACACATACTAGCTTTATACCCGTGCTCAGCTGCAGGGTTCAAAGGCCCTCCTCATGACATACAAAGACCCCAATGTACCAAGCAACCTACTCTATTATCCCCAATTACTTCTATAGATACCTAGAGGTGAGGAGTCTCTGCTCAAAACAAACTGTAGTATTTTTAGGTAAAACTGATTTCCCAACAAGTATCAGATAGATAAACTCACATAACAGCAGATTTGATCAATAAATAAGAACAATATTGTATAATTGATAAATTGACTAAGTTTTAAGTTGTATGACAAGTTAACAGATTGGTCACATTTGAAGGACAGTGAAAACAATCTTTATTTAGCAAGAAAAGAAAAAAACAGTGTGTACCAGTGTAAACAAGTGGACAGTTGTCTCTACTGGATTAGTAAATAGCTCATCAGCTTTCCTCAGGATGAATCTCTGCCAAGCTAGTCACAATGAAAACCAACCAGAACTGAGCTAAGAAAACATGCCTGTTTTCAACAGATAACCTTGGCTTCTTTGTGCAGTCAAAACATCACCTCATGAATTTTGTTCTCTCACAGCATTGGTAGGTTGTTTTGTTCAACTCTACTACTAAAATATATTACACTACTAATTCTTTCAACCCTTATGCTATATGTTACTGCAACATTCTCTTGGGAAGAATAGACATTACCAACTGTAGAGAACAAGGCAAAAAGCAAGTAGAACATGGTAATATCAACAACTTTTTGAACCATGTGTTTATATTCAAACTGCATAGAAACTAAGAAATGAGAAATTGAAAGTTTCCTATGTCATTAAAGCAGGTAGATAACATATGTCAGCATATCACTAAACCACATTAGGACACCTGCCAACATTATCTGAACATGTGTGCCACATTTGGTTGCAATAGATAGAGTTGGAATCATAGTTCCTTGCAATCATTAGTTGCACAAACTAAGGATAACTGTAACTGGTGGAGGTTGACAATCAGAGGCACATCCAGTTCTTTTCAGCTGATTATCTATGGTCTGAACCAGAGATGAGGTTGCTGTGCTATGACTGGCAAAGGACTGGGAATCCTGTGGAGACCTTCCCAAGTGTACAATGACTCGACAAGTGCCAAATTCCATGTCAACAACCTTTAGTTGTCCTTGCTTTCATACATTCTTCCTCTTGGCCTTTGTGAGTACATCTATGTTTAGAATAAGCCATTCTTTCAGTAAAAGCATTTCTTTAAATTGAATAACCTCAAGAGATCAAACAAGAGCTCATATGGATATTATGTTTTAGAAACTCTGCAATAAATTCCGATAGCAATGGATGAAAATTTCTCTTTCCTATTTACTTGTAGTATTTTAAGCTATACTGGATAAATCTCTTTTGAACTAGTAACAATAAAAATCAAGTAGAATTGAATGAAAAAAGCATGTCTGAGTTTGATAGATACTGTTCCTTGTCCTGTCACTTCTTGAACTTTATTTTCTCTCACAGCATTGATCAGATTTATCATTCAGACAATATAAAAATCAACCAGCAAAAGATATTGCAATGCTAATCCTTTCAACTCCTATGCTATATGTTACTGCAACATTCTTTCAGGCAGAATAGACATTACCAACTATAGAGAACAAGGCAAAAAGCAAGTAGAACATGGTAATATCAACAACTTTTTGAACCATGTGTTTATATTAAAACTGCATAGAAACTAAGAAATGAGAAATTGAAAGTTTCCTATGTCATTATAGCAGGTAGATAACATATGTCAGCATATCACTAAACCACATTAGGACACCTGCCAACATTATCTGAACATGTGTGCCACATTTGGTTGCAATAGATAGAGTTGGAATATGAGTATAGTTTCAAACATGGTGCCTCCAGGCTCCATAGGGGTGAAAAAATACAATGTAATTTACCAAATTTGGATTCAACAATCCTGAAAACTTATTCCTAGACCCCCCCCCCTCTCATCATGTTTTGGTGATCTTCTGGGTAAGTTTTAAACCCTTCATTACAGATTGAGGGTATAGTGATCTCAAGAGGTTGTACCTGAAATAAAACCCCATTTGACACATATCCCTGGTACTTGAGCATATTTCAAAAGTGGCACATTCAGAATCCCAAGAAAAGCCATGAAATGCAAAATCTGATGCCCTAAATACCCACTCCCAGACCCTCATTATGCTTGGGTGACCTTCTGAATGCATATTTTCCTCCTTTGATATGGGTCTATGCCCTGTAAATAAGGTCACTTGCAGGTCACCCTGCTAAGTTTGGTTCTGCTAGCTCCAAAAACCATAGGAAGTGTTGGAGGACAAACAAATTCACAAACACACAACATGAATTAACATAGGAACTACAGATTTTGTATTTTGACATCTTATATTAAAAAGAGAAATTGATGAACCAAAAACCAACTTTGTCGAAAACGTAAGTCTCTCTTCAGCAACATATGAATGTAAAATTTACACGCATACAAAACTGAAAGTAAAAACTACAAAGTTTCAAGATGGCTGGAGACGGCTTAAATGGGTAATGAAGAAAAACTTTAATATAAGTTTAACATGACAGCAAATGTACAACGTTTCGACAAGGTTTTGTCATCATCACCTGATGATGACA